TCTAAAGAATTCAGAAAATGGACCGTGAAATCATATAGGGATAGCGTGTTTCTGTTTCTTGACCCATGTTGGTTATTGGGAATCCCAGTGTACTTAATTTAGAGCCCAAATAAAAATGTTCACTTGAGCTGTACCTAGTGTCCCTCGAGTCTGACACGATGACCCCAGCATTAACAAAAAACCTGGGCACTGCACAGAGGTGACCAGCAATGGCATGTATGTAAGATTGTTCTACATTGTAATATTCAGAAATGTTCTGTATTTCGTGTTCCTTGCATGTATAGTTGTGTGTTTTAATTATGTATTTATGCATGTGTGTAAGTTTGTCATTGTAATCAAAATGTCGACCATATGTTTGTGTGGGGGTGTCAAACATCTGAGCGGTCACAATCACACTCACGATCACCACAAACTCTCACATCACAAGTCAACAACAACAAAAACCCAATACACAAGATTGCTTTGTTTCTTTTTTTTTTAATGAAGTGTAATTTTGTACACAAAACAAAATGATACATAACCAACAGCATACACATTTTTGTCACATACATAATGTGTCACAAACATAAATGTGTAACATACATAAATGTGTCACATACATAAATGTGCAACACAGGAGCCCCGTCGACTTTCTCCCGCTGTGATTGGTCGGTGTAACATAACAGCGATGACGTGACGTCTCAGAAGACAGGACAGACAGGTCAGAATGTACGGGTGAGTGCTCCCACGGTCGTCCGGGCGACGGTGGGCTTTTCAAACGTTTTAGTCATAAGAGTTTTATTTTACGGCACTTGCATCACAATAAGGTCATATAAGTGCCGAAGATTAGAGATGTTACAAGGGAGTAACAAACACAAAAAAGAAGGAGAGGAGACAAGGATGATAGATGTTTGATGGGGAAGAACGAGAAGGAGAGAGAGGGACGATAGATGTTTGATGGGGAAGAACGAGGAGGAGAGAGAGGGACGATAGATGTTTGATGGGGAAAAACGAGGAGGAGAGAGAGGGATGATAGATGTTTGATGGGGAAAAACGAGGAGGAGAGAGAGGGATCATAGATGTTTGATGGGGAAGAACGAGGAGGAGAGAGAGGGACGATAGGTGTTTGATGGGGAAGAACGAGGAGGAGAGAGAGGGACGATAGGTGTTTGATGGGGAAGAACGAGGAGGAGAGAGAGGGACGATATGTGTTTTATACGACAGATGGAGCAAAGAGTTTTTAATCCTTTTTTTTAGAGAGTGCAGACAGACAGACAGACAGACAGACAGACAGACAGACAGACAGAATAAGAAGAGTGAGACAGAGATAGAGAAAGATAGAAAAAGAGAGACAGAGGCAGAGAGAACAAGAAAGGGAAACAGAGAGAGAATGAAAGATGGAAGGAGGAAATGAGGTTGGGGTGG